GTTGGTGCACCTCGTGCCTATGCTCGAACGTATTTCTTCCTTCTGTGCTCCCCCTGTGGCCCCCAGGGCTCGTTCACTCTGGTGGCGACCGCTTCAAGAGGTTGCGTGCACTCCAGGGTTGGTGCACCTCGTGCCTATGCTCGAACGTATTCTTTCCTGTGCTCCCCCTGTGGCCCCCAGGGCTCGTTCACTCTGGTGCGCGACCGCTTCAAGAGGTTGCGTGCACTCCAGGGTTGGTGCACCTCGTGCCTATGCTCGAACGTATTTCTTCCTTCTGTGCTCCCCCTGTGGCCCCCAGGGCTCGTTCACTCTGGTGCGCGACCGCTTCAAGAGGTTGCGTGCACTCCAGGGTTGGTGCACCTCGTGCCTATGCTCGAACGTATTTCTTCCTTCTGTGCTCCCCCCTGTGGCCCCCAGGGCTCGTTCACTCTGGTGCGCGACCGCTTCAAGAGGTTGCGTGCACTCCAGGGTTGGTGCACCTCGTGCCTATGCTCGAACGTATTTCTTCCTTCTGTGCTCCCCCTGTGGCCCCCAGGGCTCGTTCACTCTGGTGCGCGACCGCTTCAAGAGGTTGCGTGCACTCCAGGGTTGGTGCACCTCGTGCCTATGCTCGAACGTATTTCTTCCTTCTGTGCTCCCCCTGTGGCCCCAGGGCTCGTTCACTCTGGTGCGCGACCGCTTCAAGAGGTTGCGTGCACTCCAGGGTTGGTGCACCTCGTGCCTATGCTCGAACGTATTTCTTCCTTCTGTGCTCCCCCCTGTGGCCCCCAGGGCTCGTTCACTCTGGTGCGCGACCGCTTCAAGAGGTTGCGTGCACTCCAGGGTTGGTGCACCTCGTGCCTATGCTCGAACGTATTTCTTCCTTCTGTGCTCCCCCCTGTGGCCCCAGGGCTCGTTCACTCTGGTGCGCGACCGCTTCAAGAGGTTGCGTGCACTCCAGGGTTGGTGCACCTCGTGCCTATGCTCGAACGTATTTCTTCCTTCTGTGCTCCCCCCTGTGGCCCCCAGGGCTCGTTCACTCTGGTGCGGGACCGCTTCAAGAGGTTGCGTGCACTCCAGGTTGGTGCACCTCGTGCCTATGCTCGAACGTATTTCTTCCTTCTGTGCTCCCCCCTGTGGCCCCAGGGCTCGTTCACTCTGGTGCGCGACCGCTTCAAGAGGTTGCGTGCACTCCAGGGTTGGTGCACCTCGTGCCTATGCTCGAACGTATTTCTTCCTTCTGTGCTCCCCCCTGTGGCCCCCAGGGCTCGTTCACTCTGGTGCGCGACCGCTTCAAGAGGTTGCGTGCACTCCAGGGTTGGTGCACCTCGTGCCTATGCTCGAACGTATTTCTTCCTTCTGTGCTCCCCCCTGTGGCCCCCAGGGCTCGTTCACTCTGGGTGCGCGACCGCTTCAAGAGGTTGCGTGCACTCCAGGGTTGGTGCACCTCGTGCCTATGCTCGAACGTATTTCTTCCTTCTGTGCTCCCCCCTGTGGCCCCCAGGGCTCGTTCACTCTGGTGCGCGACCGCTTCAAGAGGTTGCGTGCACTCCAGGGTTGGTGCACCTCGTGCCTATGCTCGAACGTATTTCTTCCTTCTGTGCTCCCCCTGTGGCCCCCAGGGCTCGTTCACTCTGGTGCGCGACCGCTTCAAGAGGTTGCGTGCACTCCAGGGTTGGTGCACCTCGTGCCTATGCTCGAACGTATTTCTTCCTTCTGTGCTCCCCCTGTGGGCCCCAGGGCTCGTTCACTCTGGTGGCGCGACCGCTTCAAGAGGTTGCGTGCACTCCAGGGTTGGTGCACCTCGTGCCTATGCTCGAACGTATTTCTTCCTTCTGTGCTCCCCCCTGTGGCCCCCAGGGCTCGTTCACTCTGGTGCGCGACCGCTTCAAGAGGTTGCGTGCACTCCAGGGTTGGTGCACCTCGTGCCTATGCTCGAACGTATTTCTTCCTTTCTGTGCTCCCCCCTGTGGCCCCCAGGGCTCGTTCACTCTGGTGCGCGACCGCTTCAAGAGGTTGCGTGCACTCCAGGGTTGGTGCACCTCGTGCCTATGCTCGAACGTATTTCTTCCTTCTGTGCTCCCCCCTGTGGCCCCCAGGGCTCGTTCACTCTGGTGCGCGACCGCTTCAAGAGGTTGCGTGCACTCCAGGGTTGGTGCACCTCGTGCCTATGCTCGAACGTATTTCTTCCTTCTGTGCTCCCCCCTGTGGCCCCCAGGGCTCGTTCACTCTGGTGCGCGACCGCTTCAAGAGGTTGCGTGCACTCCAGGGTTGGTGCACCTCGTGCCTATGCTCGAACGTATTTCTTCCTTCTGTGCTCCCCCCTGTGGCCCCCAGGGCTCGTTCACTCTGGTGCGCGACCGCTTCAAGAGGTTGCGTGCACTCCAGGGTTGGTGCACCTCGTGCCTATGCTCGAACGTATTTCTTCCTTCTGTGCTCCCCCCTGTGGCCCCCAGGGCTCGTTCACTCTGGTGCGCGACCGCTTCAAGAGGTTGCGTGCACTCCAGGGTTGGTGCACCTCGTGCCTATGCTCGAACGTATTTCTTCCTTCTGTGCTCCCCCCTGTGGCCCCCAGGGCTCGTTCACTCTGGTGCGCGACCGCTTCAAGAGGTTGCGTGCACTCCAGGGTTGGTGCACCTCGTGCCTATGCTCGAACGTATTTCTTCCTTCTGTGCTCCCCCCTGTGGCCCCCAGGGCTCGTTCACTCTGGTGCGCGACCGGCTTCAAGAGGTTGCGTGCACTCCAGGGTTGGTGCACCTCGTGCCTATGCTCGAACGTATTTCTTCCTTCTGTGCTCCCCCCTGTGGCCCCAGGGCTCGTTCACTCTGGTGCGCGACCGCTTCAAGAGGTTGCGTGCACTCCAGGGTTGGTGCACCTCGTGCCTATGCTCGAACGTATTTCTTCCTTCTGTGCTCCCCCCTGTGGCCCCCCAGGGCTCGTTCACTCTGGTGCGCGACCGCTTCAAGAGGTTGCGTGCACTCCAGGGTTGGTGCACCTCGTGCCTATGCTCGAACGTATTTCTTCCTTCTGTGCTCCCCCCTGTGGCCCCCAGGGCTCGTTCACTCTGGTGCGCGACCGCTTCAAGAGGTTGCGTGCACTCCAGGGTTGGTGCACCTCGTGCCTATGCTCGAACGTATTTCTTCCTTCTGTGCTCCCCCCTGTGGCCCCCAGGGCTCGTTCACTCTGGTGCGCGACCGCTTCAAGAGGTTGCGTGCACTCCAGGGTTGGTGCACCTCGTGCCTATGCTCGAACGTATTTCTTCCTTCTGTGCTCCCCCCTGTGGCCCCCAGGGCTCGTTCACTCTGGTGCGCGACCGCTTCAAGAGGTTGCGTGCACTCCAGGGTTGGTGCACCTCGTGCCTATGCTCGAACGTATTTCTTCCTTCTGTGCTCCCCCTGTGGCCCCCAGGGCTCGTTCACTCTGGTGCGCGACCGCTTCAAGAGGTTGCGTGCACTCCAGGGTTGGTGCACCTCGTGCCTATGCTCGAACGTATTTCTTCCTTCTGTGCTCCCCCCTGTGGCCCCCAGGGCTCGTTCACTCTGGTGCGCGACCGCTTCAAGAGGTTGCGTGCACTCCAGGGTTGGTGCACCTCGTGCCTATGCTCGAACGTATTTCTTCCTTCTGTGCTCCCCCCTGTGGCCCCCAGGGCTCGTTCACTCTGGTGCGCGACCGCTTCAAGAGGTTGCGTGCACTCCAGGGTTGGTGCACCTCGTGCCTATGCTCGAACGTATTTCTTCCTTCTGTGCTCCCCCCTGTGGCCCCCAGGGCTCGTTCACTCTGGTGCGCGACCGCTTCAAGAGGTTGCGTGCACTCCAGGGTTGGTGCACCTCGTGCCTATGCTCGAACGTATTTCTTCCTTCTGTGCTCCCCCCTGTGGCCCCCAGGGCTCGTTCACTCTGGTGCGCGACCGCTTCAAGAGGTTGCGTGCACTCCAGGGTTGGTGCACCTCGTGCCTATGCTCGAACGTATTTCTTCCTTCTGTGCTCCCCCCTGTGGCCCCCAGGGCTCGTTCACTCTGGTGCGCGACCGCTTCAAGAGGTTGCGTGCACTCCAGGGTTGGTGCACCTCGTGCCTATGCTCGAACGTATTTCTTCCTTCTGTGCTCCCCCCTGTGGCCCCCAGGGCTCGTTCACTCTGGTGCGCGACCGCTTCAAGAGGTTGCGTGCACTCCAGGGTTGGTGCACCTCGTGCCTATGCTCGAACGTATTTCTTCCTTCTGTGCTCCCCCCTGTGGCCCCCAGGGCTCGTTCACTCTGGTGCGCGACCGCTTCAAGAGCTTCCAGAAGCGAGGGATGATTGAGACGCACGGCCCCACCATGTAAGTGCAGAGCTGAAGGGGTGTGCGCAGGGCAGGGAGGAGAGTGTGAGTGCTTTTGAGGCGCCTCAAAGGGGGTGTGCGCAGGGCGGGGAGGGGAGTGAGGGTGGGGGTGGGGAGGCGGGAGGGTGCATTTCGATATCCAGAGGTGAGGGATGATTGAGACGCATGGCCCCACCATGTAAGTGGAGACAAGGGCTATCATGGAAGAGAAGGGCGGGGGAGCAGGGGAGCCAGGGGGCTTTTTCTTAGGGGTAGCCAGGTAGGGCTATTTTGAGGGGAAGCCGGGGGGCTATTTTTGAGCCAGAGGAGCCAGGAGGCGCCTCAAAACTAGACTCCTCACGGAAGTGAAGGGTGGGGGAGCATGGGAGCCAGGGGGCGAGGGCAACGGAGATGCATCTTACTCACTCTCCCCCATGCCACGAGTCTCTCCATGTGAACATCATACTCATTCCCCCTCTCCCCCGTGTTCTCCCCTCGCCTGGTCATCAGCCAGCAGTCGTTGTCGTGGAAGCGGAGGGTGGTGGAGCAGGAACACAGGGAGCGAGGGAGAGGGAGATGCACGCCGAGATTCAGGCCACGCAAGCACCATACTCATTCCCCTACTTCTCTTGGTCGCACCCCCTCCCCCCACTTCCCCGCCTTCCCCGCCTTCCCCGCCTTCTCCTCCCCCCCTCCCCCACCCTTTTGCCGTTGTCAACAGCAAGCAGTCGCGATCTAGGAAACGGAGGGTGGTGGGGCCAAGGCAGAGGGGTAAGGCCAGGGAGAGGGAGATGCACGCGGAGATTCAGGCCATGCGGCTAACTTGCTCTCTTTCTTGCATCTCCACTCCTTTCACTCCCCCTCTTCCATCCAACAGTAAGCAGTCGCTATCAAGGAAAAGGAGAGTTGTGGAGCAGGGGAGCCAGGGGGCGAGGGAGAGGGAGATGCATGCCGAGATTCAAGCGATGCGAGCAGCAAGGCAGGAGACGAAGAAGGCTGCTGCAAAAGAGGCCATGGCATCGAGTAACTTGGAATTGTGATCATGTTTGAGTGTTTCGAGGCGCCTTAGAAGGAGAGATTGGCCTTGCAATGCAAGCGTAGAGTCGAGGCAGGATTGTGATACGCAACCTTTTCTGGCACCTAGAAACGGAGATGTAAGCAAGTGCAATGAATACGCATGGATTTTTGCTCGCTTGCAATGCATGGTCTCATTTGCTTTCCATCATACCAATGCCATCATTATTTCTGATTTTCAAATTGTACCAGTTCTCATGCTATTTTCTTTGTCGTGGGTCAAATTGAGGCTTCCCTTCCCTTTTGTATTTAAAGTTGTAGTTGTAGGTTTGTTTTTTCCCGCATTTAACCCTTGGCGCTATATCTGTGAAGTACCGTATCTTTCCTCGCAGTGTAACGGGATGATTATGTGGGGTCAGATTTTCTCAAGGTCCAACTCGCTGTGGAGTTCGCAAGGATCCTAGATTCCTCCTTGTCAGTTGCCTACTACTCCCAGAAGGGATGTGGAGTTCCGAATTATTAGTTGCTTGCACATGTCCTTATACGGTCTTCAGCTATTGTAGTACAGTTGGTTGCTAATCTCCCGGTTTAGAGCTGCGCGGCTGCTTCGTGCGCCTAGGCGCGTGTAATCCTCCGCAGCTTCTTACCAGACTCTCGAGCCGTCTAAGAAAGGTGACTTTCGAGTCGGCTCATAAATCTCTCCGTACCGTAGCATCATACCAGGCGATCCACAAGCATCAAGTCATGGATGCTTCGACTCGCGCCTACTATTCTTCCCAGGCTCTTCCGCTTTTGGGGAAGTCACCTCGTGATAGGGATTCCCACGTGTGCGCATGCAATTTAGCTGCTCCTAGTCTTCAGGCTGACGTGTCATTGCCCGGAAATCGCTGCGTGTTTTTCGCGCCTGGGTCATCGAGGCGGGAACCGTTAGTATCACGTCGTGAGGTGCCGCTAGCATCCCAGCCAATAGCATCGCTGGGATTCTGGGGCTCCGCGTTTCCCCGAAGTTTCCTGAGCCGTCTTGCGACGGTGACGGCAGTGGCGGAAAGGGGGGGAACGGCGGGATCCGCCCGCGGGAAAGATTCGGCGGATGCGGAAAGGGAGGGAGTTAAGAATAGGAAAAGGGATAAGAGCAAGAAGCGTGAGAAGGGAAAGAAGGGGGAACGGAGACGAGAAGGGGTGAGAGGGGAGGGGGAGAGAGGAGGAGGAAACCTGGAGAGAGTGAAGGAGAAGAGGGGTGGTGTGATGCGTGCTGGGGAGGGGAGGGAGGAGAGGAAAGAGAGAGGGAAGGGGAAAGGGAGTAAGAAGGAAAAGAAGGCAAATGAGATGGCTAAGAATGGCCGAGTGGAGGAGCAGGATCAATTCAGGGAGCTTGCTCTCCCTTCCCTATCACAGGAGTCTCCTGCGGCGTCAGCATCGGGCAAGTTACCATCTGGCATGTCGTCATCCCCTACCGCATTATCTGCCACGTCAACACCTGCCACGTCATCAACTGCGAAGGCCTCCCGATGGGACGGAATAGATCCCACCAAGATTCGATTCGTTGACTATTCCTCCATGCCGAGCCAAGAGGAGATCCGAGCCTCCGTCTTCCCGAGCCAAAACAGGAGGTCTTGGCCTGGTGAACGAAGCAGTGGTTTTGACGAGTCTCAGAGCCTGCCGAGCCAAGAGAGGTTTGGGTTCGGCCAAGAGCCAGCTGGCAGAGGTTCGGGACAGGCTCGGCGGGATCTTGCATCGGCTCCAGAGCGAACTGCTGCCAGAGGCTCGGGACAGGTTTGGTGGAGTGAGGAGGGAAGGGACGAGCCAGAGATTGATGACAATAGTGAAAGAGATAGAAGCAGCAAAAGTAATTCTACAAGTAGCAGAGGCAGTAGCAGCGGCAATCGCAGCAGTAGCAACAGCAGTCGCAGTAGTAGCAGCAGCAGTCGCAGTGGTAGCAGCAGCAGTCGCAGTAGTAGCCGCAGAATTCGCAGTACCAGTAACAGGAGTGACAGCTGTGGGAATCCTCAAGAAAACGCACATGGCAGCAGCAGCGGGGGAGAATCAGATGAGTTTCCCGCGCATGACTATAACGAGTACAGCTATGACGAGTGGGAGGAGGGCGAGCAGGACGAAAAGGCAGCAGAGGGAGAGTTTGAAGCCACCCCACGTGACTATAACGAGTATAATAAGTATATCCCGGGGTGGGAGTGGGAGGAGGGCGAGCAGGAGGAGGAGGCAGCAGAGAGCGAGTTTGAGGCCGTGGCGCAGCTGTGGGAGGAGATGGAAGGTGCTGGGAAGCTGCACCCGCTGAGTGCACCAGCGGGGGGGTTAAGATGGAAGCAGGAGGCGCAGGAGCGTTTCCCTGGTGAGATTCTGGGGTTGGGATTGGGTGAGACTGCAGAGGCGATTTCCGGGTGGGATTCTGAGGCTGAGAGGGGAGGGCAAAGGGGAAGGGGGAGATGAGATGGGGAGATGAGATGGGGAGATGAGATGGGGCGATGAGATGGGGAGATGAGATGGGGAGATGAGATGGGGAGATGAGATGGGGAGATGAGATAGGGAGATGAGATGGGGGAGGGGAAGGAGAGAGGGGGAGGGGGAGAGGGGGGGCTTGACATTCCCTATCGCTATACCTTTGATTCCAGTCTCCTCTGTTCCTATGTGAGCATCGGACCCACCCCCCCACCCCCCCGGTTTTCCCTGTAATCCCATTTCGTTGGCGGCGTTGCAGACGAGTCTATTTTTGAGGCGCCTCAAAAATAGATTCTTATGTGAGCATCGGACCCACCCCCCCCCACCCCCCCGGTTTTCCCTGTAATCCCATTTCGTTGGCGGCGTTGCAGACCTAGCGCGCATGGCTGGCGTGTTTCCTTACATGGGGGATGTGATCGAGAGGGAGGAGCTGGACACGCCCTATGACTACGCCCCTCCTCCAGACATCGACAGTAGATGTGAGTGTGTTGGGTCCGTCTGTCTGTCTGTCTGTCTGTCTGTCTATCTGCCTGTCTGTCTGTCTGTCTGTCCGTCCGTCCGTCCGTCCGTCCGTCCGTCTGTCCGTCCGTCTGGTCTGTCGGTCCGTCCGTCCGTCCGTCCGTCCGTCCGTCCGTCCGTCTGTCTGTCTGTCTGGTCTGTCGGTCCGTCCGTCCGTCCGTCCGTCCGTCCGTCCGTCCGTCTGCCTGTCTGTTGAAGTTCAATTTCCTGTTCGCAGCTCTTAAAGTGACTCGGAAACTTACAAGTATTCATGGTGGCCCTCCGCCTATATTGCACAGTACTATCATCCGCTTCTATCGCCCATCACCACGCTTTTGCCGGGTGTTCTTGAGAATTCTCTCAAAAACACCGTGCAAAATCGTGGCCCCTCGCCTAGATTGCATATTTTTGAGGCGCCTCAAAAATAGAAATCTCTCAAAAACACCCTGCAAAATCGTGGCCCTTCGTCTAGATTGCACAACGCAGGCCCATCAGCTTCTATCGCCCGTCAGTCACCATGCCGCATCTCCTCCCTGCTTTCCTTTCTGCTCCGATCCTCCCAACCTCTGCAATGATCAGCAAGCTCCTGGACCTTATAGAATCCCTCCGGCTCTTTCTCCCGCATGCACTCTCTCCTCTCCCCTCATCCCTCCCCCCTCTTCTCCCCCCGCTCTGTTCTCCTCTTCCCTCCCAGCCTCTGCAATGATCCACAAGCTCCTGGACCTACTGGACGCCCTCCGGCTCTGTTGCACTGCTATTTTGCCCTCCCCACTAAAGCCTGTCTCTAAGTCTCAAACCCCAACCCCCCTCCCACTCCCCCTCTCTGTCCTCTCTCTCCCACCCTGCTCTCCTCCTCCCCTCCAGTTTACGACATGATTGACAAACTCCAGGACCTTATATAAGCCGTCCGGCTATTCCTCCCCCACGCACTATCCCCTCCCCTCGCCACTCCCTTCATCCACTCTCATCCCCTTCCGCCCTCTCCGCCACTCTGTTCTGCTACTTCCCTCCCAGCTTCCGACATGATTGACAAACTTCAGGACCTACTGGAAGCCCTCCGGCTCTTTCTCCCACATGTACGCTCTCCTCTCCCCTCATCCCTTCCGCACCCCCCCTCTCCCTCTGCTCTTCTCCCCCCCAGCTTCCGACATGATCGACAAGCTCCAGGACCTTCTAACAGCCCTCCGGCTCTTTCTCCCGTATGCACTCTCTCCTCTCCCTGCTCCGCCTCCTGTCGAGTCGGCAGCTGTAAAAGAGGAGGGAGGGGAGGGGACAGAGGAGGGGAGAGAGGAGGGGAGAGTGGAGGGGAGAGAGGAGGGGAGAGAGGAGGGAGAGAGGAGGGGAGAGAGGAGGGGAGAGAGGAAAGGATAGAGGAGGGGACAGAGGAGGGGAGAAGGCAGGAGAGGGAGCAGAGGAAAAGGCGAGAGAGGGAGGAGCAGGGGATAGCCAAGTGAAGCAACGGAAGCAGGTGGATCAGCAAAGACAAGAGGAAGAGCAGCAGCTGAGACAGCAGCAGCAGCGGCAGCAGCAGCAGCAGCAGCAGCAGCGACAGCAGCAGCCACAGGCGGAAGAGCCTGTCGACATCTTCGCGATGGGGTTTGTGGAGGATGAGGTCCGCGTGCAGAATCCGGTGGTGTGCGTTCGAGGGAGACACAGGTGAGCAAACAAGCACAGAAACAGCAGCAGCAGTGGCAGCAGCAGTGGCAGCAGCAGCTACAACAGAAAGAGCCTGTCGACATCTTCGCAATGGGGTTTGTCGAGGAGGGGCTCTGCGTGCAGAATCCGGTGGTTTGCGTTCGAGGGAGAGACACGTGAGCAAACGATTGGATGGGTGGCACAGTGGCTCAGTGGCACAGTGGCAAGGTGGCACTCAACACGCCCCAGCTCAGCTCCCAATGGGCGTTCACGTGGTCACGTGGTCATGCGGTCTCGCCGTGTTGCGTGCTCTGGTTTCCCGTGCGCCTGCCCTGCTTGTTTCCCTCTGCTGCTGGTGGCAGCAGTGGCTGCACCTCATGGGGTCGGCTGGGGGGCACCTGCACCTGCACCACCTGTACTCTGAAACATCACCTGGCTCCGTCCATACCCACTTGCAGGTGGCAGCAGTGGCTGCACGTCATGGGGTCGGCTGGGGGGCACCTGCACCTGCACAACCTGTACTCTGAAACGCTGGTGAAGGAGCCAGGTGATTCTTGCTGCACTGCACCCGTCACGGTATGGTGAATAGAGCAGGTTCCTTCACAGGAGGCGTGCTGGGGGCCACCTGCACCTGCACCTACACCTGCACCACCTGTACTCTGAAACGCTGGTGAAGGAACCAGGTGAGCGGCTTGTGTTCTACCAGTGTGGGTGAAGGCGTGCTGGGGGGCACCAGGCGTGCTGGGGGGCACCTGCACCTGCACCACCTTTATTCCGAAACTCTGGTGAAGGAACCAGGTAACTCTTGCCGCACTGCACCCGTCCCGTCACGGTATGGTGAGTAGAGCAGGTTCCTTCACAGCATTGCGGCGCCTGCACCTGCGCTGCCTCTGCTCCGAGGCACTGGGGGAGGAACCAGGTCATTCTTGCTGCACTGCACCCGTCACGGTATGGTGAATAGAGCAGGTTCCTTCACAGCACTGTGGCGCCTGCATCTGCGCCGCCTCTGCTCCGAGGCACTGGGGGAGAAACCAGGTGAGAGGCGACTGTGGTTCCTGTGTGTGAGTACGCTTGATGCTGCACCATGGTGAAGTGAAGGCGTGCTGGGGGGCTCTTGCACTATGGTGAAGGCGTTAGACCGCCGCTGGATCACTGCCCTGTGGTCCATCCTCTTAGCTAAGAGTGGGTGGGAAGCGGTGGCAGGTATGGGCAGTCTTACACAATTCTTCCTCCCCTTGTTACCCTTTCCCTTGTCACCTCTCTTTATCTCAGATCGCCTCTGGATCACTGCCCTGTGGACGTTTCTTTTAGCTAAGTGTGGGTGGGAACCAGTGGCAGTCTTGGGGATAGTCACCTGCTTTCCTATTCTCACGCCCCTCTTTTTCCCTCCCCCCAAATCACCTCCCTTCAGACCGCCGCTGGATCACTGCTCTATGGACCATCCTCTTAGCTAAGAGTGGGCGGGAAGCAGTGGCAGCCATGGGGCTGACGGACTGGTGGGATAGGAACCTTCCTGAGCACGAGGCAGAAATCAGGAGGAACCTTCCTGCAGAGGAGGAGGAGGAGGAGGGTGAGAGACAGGGGAACGAGCCAAGCAATAGAGGAGCCAAGCAAGTGGTCCGAAAAGCTAGTGCAGATAAAATGCACGAGGATCCAAGGAAAGAGGGGGAAAGTTTTGAGGCGCCTCAAAACAAGGATCCAAGGAAAGAGGGGCCAAGGGGGAGGATCGGAGGCAGCAGACGTGGGGAAGGAGACGAAGAGGGGGAGGAGGATGTTGGGAGTGATGTTGGTGGGGAGGTGGGGATGGAGTGGGGGGCAAAGGAGGCGGAGAGGGGAGATATGGAGGGGAAGGGAGGGGAGAAGGGAGCAGATGAGATCTACTTGATTGGCAAGACCAGGTTTGAGATGAACACAGATGGGAAGGTAGGTATCTGTGCTCTGTGCTTGCCTTCCTACCTTGGTGCCAGAGCACTGTGTTGCAGTGTTTTGAGGCCCGTGAGTGGGTGTCCTTTTTGTGTTTTCGATGCAATTCTCACACAATAAGCTTGTCTCTGATTGTTGCCCTTCGTGCAGATCTCAGCCGTTGAGAGCACATGGTTCATCGCAGATGATCCAATGGCTGTTAGAGAGACGGCAAGAGGAGAGTTGTTTCTGCGGGCGTTGCTACTCATTGAAGAAGAGAAGACATTGAGGCAAGTGTAGACACGGACCTCCTGGATTTTTCACAAGAGAAACGATATGATTATCGTACAGTAATTGAGTAATGGTGCAAACTAGTTTATTTTAATCAATATCTCCTGCCCTGCATTTCACAACACTACAAAGGTGGCTTATAACTAATTCCAGTGCGCCAGATTGAACTGTACGTTGAGGGCAGCAAGTACGGCTCATAACTCCATTCGCGTTATACGTCGCTCTCGTTAGTAGATTGTAATACCCACACCCATTTTCCAGACTCCGCCGTCCCTTATGTCACACCCGTCGTATCTCACTGATCCGCCCCACCTGCAACGTAGCCGCAGAATTCCCCATGTCTCGCGCACTGATGTTATAACCCCCCTCTCCACACCATGCGTCGCGCCGCCCTAGCCCTGCGCGTCGCCTCGGCTTCGACCGCCGATATCGGGCGTAAGTCGCGAAACGCCATATCTCCTGGCGTACTCTCCGCGCATAATAGCCCGCGAGTCCGCGCAAGCACCACCACGGGCGATGCGCGTCTGGATTCCTCTCCCGCGGCATCGTCTCTCGCGCCGAATGCGGCGCGTCTCGCGGCGGCGGGCTCAGTTTCTCCAGCCCTAGTCGCTCCGTTTGCAGCACGAACCTACGCTTCGGCATCGCAACCAGGCTCGGCAGTAAGCGCGCCCGCAGGCTCGCCACTAGCCTCGGCAGCAAGCGCCGCCCCAGGCTCGGGTCCAGGCTCGGATCAGGCGGGAAAAGCCGAATCCGGAGGTTCGGGAAAGCGCGGCGGATGGAACCTGTTGTTCGGAGGGGGAGGGGGCGCGGGTGGGGAGCCGGGGACGGGGGAGCCGGGGACGGGGGAGCCGGGACGGGGGAGCTGGGGGTGGGGGAGGGGAAGTGGCGGAAAGGGCACAAGCGTTGCAAGGGGAGGGGGAGGGGGAGCGGCGGGGGAGGCGCAGGGGGAGAGTGGCGGATGGCTGGCGCGCATTCAGAGCTTCCTGCGGCTGGGGAAGGGCGGGGGGGAGGGCGGGGGGGAGGGTAAGGGGGAGGGTACGGGGGGTTCCAAAATCGCGACACATGCGGAGAGTCTGACTGGTGAGAAGAAGCTGAGCATCAGCTGGGCTTTGAGGTGCTGCTGATAGAGGTGTACTACAGCATCAGCTGGGCTTTGAGGTGCACTGATAGAGGTGTACTACAGCATCAGCTGGGCTTTGAGGTGCCACTGATAGAGGTGTACTACAGCATCAGCTGGGCTTTGAGGTGCCACTGATAGAGGTGTACTACAGCATCAGCTGGGCTTTGAGGTGCCACTGATAGAGGTGTACTACAGCATCAGCTGGGCTTTGAGGTGCCACTGATAGAGGTGTACTACAGCATCAGCTGGGCTTTGAGGTGCCACTGATAGAGGTGTACTACAGCATCAGCTGGGCTTTGAGGTGCCACTGATAGAGGTGTACTACAGCATCAGCTGGGCTTTGAGGTGCTGCTGATAGAGGTGTACTACAGCATCAGCTGGGCTTTGAGGTGCCACTGATAGAGGTGTACTACAGCATCAGCTGGGCTTTGAGGTGCCACTGATAGAGGTGTACTACAGCATCAGCTGGGCTTTTAGGTGCCACTGATAGAGGTGTACTACAGCATCAGCTGGGCTTTGAGGTGCCACTGATAGAGGTGTACTACAGCATCAGCTGGGCTTTGAGGTGCCACTGATAGAGGTGTACTACAGCATCAGCTGGGCTTTGAGGTGCCACTGATAGAGGTGTACTACAGCATCAGCTGGGCTTTGAGGTGCCACTGATAGAGGTGTACTACAGCATCAGCTGGGCTTTGAGGTGCCACTGATAGAGGTGTACTACAGCATCAGCTGGGCTTTGAGGTGCCACTGATAGAGGTGTACTACAGCATCAGCTGGGCTTTGAGGTGCCACTGATAGAGGTGTACTACAGCATCAGCTGGGCTTTGAGGTGCCACTGATAGAGGTGTACTACAGCATCAGCTGGGCTTTGAGGTGCCACTGATAGAGGTGTACTACAGCATCAGCTGGCTTTGAGGTGCCACTGATAGAGGTGTACTACAGCATCAGCTGGGCTTTGAGGTGCCACTGATAGAGGTGTACTACAGCATCAGCTGGGCTTTGAGGTGCCACTGATAGAGGTGTACTACAGCATCAGCTGGGCTTTGAGGTGCCACTGATAGAGGTGTACTACAGCAGTCAGCTGGGCTTTGGAGGTGCACTGATAGAGGGTGACTACAGCATCAGCTGGGCTTTGAGGTGCCACTGATAGAGGTGTACTACAGGCATCAGCTGGGCTTTGAGGTGCCACTGATAGAGGTGTACTACAGCATCAGCTGGGCTTTGAGGTGCCACTGATAGAGGTGTACTACAGCATCAGCTGGGCTTTGAGGTGCCACTGATAGAGGTGTACTAGCAGCATCAGCTGGGCTTTGAGGTGCCACTGATAGAGGTGTACTACAGCATCAGCTGGGCTTTGAGGTGCCACTGATAGAGGTGTACTACAGCATCAGCTGGGCTTTGAGGTGCCACTGATAGAGGTGTACTACAGCATCAGCTGGGCTTTGAGGTGCCACTGATAGAGGTGTACTACAGCATCAGCTGGGCTTTGAGGTGCCACTGATAGAGGTGTACTACAGCATCAGCTGGGCTTTGGAGGTGGCCACTGATAGAGGTGTACTACAGCATCAGCTGGGCTTTGAGGTGCCACTGATAGAGGTGTACTACAGCATCAGCTGGCCGAGTCCTGAGTCCTTGGGTGGGCTGAGTCCTTGAGGTGCGCTGATAGAGGTGTACTGCAACTTGCAAGGCAACGGCGGAAAGTTGTCACCTAGGGAATTCACTGGCGATGCTTTTGAGTCGACTCAAAAGTCACCTCGCTCACCTCTCCTTGCCCCACGAGCCTAGGGACAGCTGGCGATGCTTTTGTTTTGAGGCGCCTCAAAACTAGACTCCTATCACGCGGTTTTGAGGCGCCTCAAAACTAGACTCCTATCACGCGGTTTTGAGGCGCCTCAAACCTAGGACAGCTGGCGATGCTTTTGAGTCGACTCAAAAGTCACCTCGCTCACCTCTCCCTTGCCCCACGAGCCTAGGACAGCTGGCGATGCTTTTGTTTTGAGGCGCCTCAAAACTAGACTCCTATCACGCGGTTTTGAGGCGCCTCAAACCTAGGGACAGCTGGCGATGCTTTTGAGTCGACTCAAAAGTCACTCGCTCACCTCTCCCTTGCCCACGAGCCTAGGGACAGCTGGCGATGCTTTTGTTTTGAGGCGCCTCAAAACTAGACTCCTATCACGCGGTTGAGGCGCCAAAACTAGACTCATCACGCGGTTTTGACGCCTCAAACCTAGGCAGCTGGCGATGCTTTTGCATCGACTCAAAAGTCACCTCGCTCACCTCCTCCTTGCCCCACGAGCCTAGGGACAGGCGGCGATGCTTTTTGTTTTGAGGCGCCTCAAAATAGACTCCTATCACGCACGCGGTTTTGAGGCGCCTCAAACCTAGGGACAGCTGGCGATGCTTTTGAGTCGACTCAAAAGTCACCTCGCTTCACCTCTCCCTTGCCCCACGAGCCTAGGGACACTGGCGATGCTTTTGTTTTGAGGCGCCTCAAAACTAGACTCCTATCACGCGGTTTGAGGCGCCTCAAAACTAGACCCTATCACGCGGTTTTGAGGCGCCTCAAACCTAGGGACAGCTGGCGATGCTTTTGAGTCGACTCAAAAGTCACCTCGCTCACCTCTCCCTTGCCCCACGAGCCTAGGGACAGCTGGCGATGCTTTTGTTTTGAGGCGCCTCAAAACTAGACTCCTATCACGCGGTTTTGAGGCGCCTCAAACCTAGGACAGCTGGCGATGCTTTTGAGTCGACTCAAAAGTCACCTCGCACCTCTCCCTTGCCCCACGAGCCTAGGGACAGTGGCGATGCTTTTGTTTTGAGGCGCCTCAAAATAGACTCCTATCACGCGGTTTTGAGGCGCCTCAAAACTAGACTCCTATCACGCGGTTTTGAGGCGCTCAAACCTAGGGACAGCTGGCGATGCTTTTGAGTCGACTCAAAAGTCACCTCGCTCACCTCTCCTTGCCCACGAGCCTAGGGACAGCTGGCGATGCTTTTGTTTTGAGGCGCCTCAAAACTAGACTCCTATCACGCGCGTTTTTTGAGGCGCCTCAAACCTAGGGACAGCTGGCGATGCTTTTGAGTCGACTCAAAAAGTCACCTCGCTCACCTCTCCCTTGCCCACGAGCCTAGGGACAGCTGGCGATGCTTTGTTTTGAGGCGCCTCAAAACTAGACTCTATCACGCGTTTGAGCGCCTCAAAACTAGACTCCTATCACGCGGTTTTGAGGCGCCTCAAACCTAGGGACAGCTGGCGATGCTTTTGAGTCGACTCAAAAGTCACCTCGCTCACCTCTCCCTTGCCCCACGAGCCTAGGGACAGCTGGCGATGCTTTTGTTTTGAGGCGCCTCAAAAACTAGACTCCTATCACGCGGTTTTGAGGCGCCTCAAACCTAGGGACAGCTGGCGATGCTTTTGAGTCGACTCAAAAGTCACCTCGCTCACCTCTCCCTTGCCCCACGAGCCTAGGGACAGCTGGCGATGCTTTTGTTTTGAGGCGCCTCAAAACTAGACTCCTATCACGCGGTTTTGAGGCGCCTCAAAACTAGACTCCTATCACGCGGTTTTGAGGCGCCTCAAAACCTAGGGACAGCTGGCGATGCTTTTGAGTCGACTCAAAAGTCACCTCGCTCACCTCTCTCTCTCTCCATGCAGCCTTCTACCCACTCCCTTGCCCCACGGGCCTCGCAGCTGGCTTTTGAGTCGACTCAAAAGTCACCCAGGGACAGCTGGCGATGTTCAGTGACAGCCTGCCGAGGCGGGCGAAATGTGGTGCCAAATCACTCTTGCAGCACATCCTTCCCAATCCCCCAATCCCCCCAACTCCCCCCAACTCCCCCCAATCCCCCAATCCCCCCAACTCCCCCCAATCCCCCCAATCCCCCCAACTCCCCAATCCCCCCAATCCCCCCAATCCCCCCAACTCCCCCCAACTCCCCCCAATCCCCCAATCCCCCCAACTCCCCCCAACTCCCCCCAATCCCCCCAATCCCCCCAACTCCCCCCAATCCCCCCAATCCCCCCAATCCCCCCAATCCCCCCAATCCCCCCAACTCCCCACAATATCCCCCCCCCCCTCCCCCCCCCCCCCCCCCCCCCCCCCCCCCCCCCCCCCCCCCCCCCCCCTCTCCCTCCCGCTCTTCATCCAGAATTTGCCAACCAGCTCAAGCGGGCACGGCAATTCGGGCAGCTGACAACGTTCGGGAAAGGGCTGCCAAAAGGCGGGCAGAATGCCGTGACTGGCTCTCTGAAGAAGCAGGAGGTCATCGCCTTTGCGCTCGCTGCTTATGCCGCTGAGGTCAAGGCAACACACGAGCAGGTGGGGTGTAACCATTTATGAAGGGTAACCATGGAAGGTGGTAACCACAAGAGTGTGAGTGACTGGCTCTCTGAAGAAGCAGGAAGTCTATTGCCATGGCGCTTGCTGCTTACGCTGCTGAGTCCTGACGTCATGTCAAGCACTTGAGCAGGCAGGGGAGGTCGCAACTGTGACGAGGTGTAACCACGGAAGGTGGTAACCAGAAGTGTGTGGTGACAAGCTCTCTCAAAAAGAGGTGAAGAGGTTTTCACCCCGGCGCTTGCTGCTTTTGCTACCAAAGCTAAACCCGCCTGCCCTTTTCCCCCACCTGCTATCGCCCTGCTATCTATCCCATTCTCAGGGCGCCAGTGCATGGCATAGCATCACATCGGAACGGGTGCCAGCAGCAAAATCACCGGTATCGCCTCAAGATTATTTTCCTAGGGGGATAAATAACTCTTGAGGCGCCTCAGAAACTGCTCTCACCCAGCTATCTATCCCCTTCCCAGGGCGCCAGAGCATCACTTCGGAGATACGGTGATTTTTGCGTGCTTGACCTCTCTCACCCCTTCTCACCATCTCTCCCCACAACCCTCCCTCCCCAGGCTGTCCATCCGCATAGCGCGGGAGGCTGGGAGCCGCGTCCCATCCGCCTTATCTCTCCTCCCTCTCCCACCCCACAGCTATCCATCCCCTTCTCCGTTCGCGAGCACATAGCGCGGGAGGCAGGGAGCAGCGTTGCTCATTCCTCTCTTATCAACCCCCTCCTGTTCCCCCCTCCGCCCTATCCGCCAACACTATCCTCTCCTCTCCCTCCCCACAGCTATCCATCCCCTTCTCCGTTCGCGAGCGCATAGCGCGGGAGGCAGGGAGCAGCGTTGCTGACGTGGACTCACTCTTAGCTAAGTACGAGTGGTTTAAAGAGGCAGGCAGGCGAATGCAGGAGCTTCCAAGACCAGGGGAAACCGCTGCCCAGATCGTTCACAGAGGTGAGAAAGAGGGGGAGGGATGGGAGGGGAGAAAGAGGGGGGGAGGGGGGGAGAGGAATTAAGGAAGGGGGGAACCGGGGGGGGGGGGGGGCAATTGGTCCTCTTCCGAAGCAGCAGCAAGTGCAGGTGCTGCAGGCGCTGCTGGTGCTGCAGGTTGCTGCTGGTGCTGGCCGCTGCTGCTGTGGCTGCTGCTGCATCTTATTAATGTTATCTCCTCCCCGGCTTCTTTCCTCTGCAGATTGAGAAGATGATGGCGGCTCGTGGTCCTCGTACAAAGCAGGAGCAGCAGCAAGTGCTGTTGGTGCTGCTGGGCCCGCTGCTGCTGCTTGCTGCAGGTTGCAGCGTCTCAAGGCCCGGCGCGCAACAGCCCGTGTCCGTGTGGCTCCGGGAAGCGATACAAGAGGTGAGCCTTGGGGAGAATTCTGGAGGGGGGGCAGAGGAAAGGGGTGTTATGCTAAGCGCCTCAAACACGTGCAGCATTGGTAGCCCTGACGCGCAACAGCCCATGTCCGTGTGGCTCCGGGAAGCGATACAAGAGGTGCGGTTTGGGGGAGATGAGGAGGGAGTGGTTCAGATGGCTAAGGCATGGTCAAGTGCTCGAGGTGGACTCTCCCCCCCCCCTTCCTTCGTTTATGGGTTGGTGCAGGTGCTGTGGAGCTGGAATGAAGGCAACGTGACTTGGCTGAAGAACACTTAGGTCCATCATTAAAAAAAGAGAGAAGAGAGAGTGTAATGCACCGCCTCAGGGTGGGTACTGTACAGCCTTGCATCAGGGCCACCTCTCGTCAGACTTGTCTTGCCGAGCTGAAACGCAGTGAACCACGCGTCGAACCATTTGCACCACGCAGCACGGCATGTGTGAAGTGAGGCTGACTCTGGTGCAGGGCGAGTTTTTAAAAATAACGCTCATTAGAATGGAGTGTCTTGCAGCACATTTAGGCGGTTTTTCAAAACACATCATTGCATGGCCTAATGGGTAATGAGTTTTCATGTGATGTTTGTTTTTTTCTTACCGCAATGCTGCACAGAACAGGGAATACGTTGGCATGGGGCCGAACACCTCTCCAACTTCTGCTGAGCATTTTTGGTAGCAAAACACCTAAGCTACGAGCTCGCATATGGCAGCTTCGAACGGTTTGATCCTTCACAATGCATTGGATGAAAGGAAGTTTCTACAGTGAGAATTGTTCTGCACTACTTGATTGTTTAACACATGGGGAAATAAACGATAACCAGGTGGAATGATCGGAAAAAGAAGCTCGCTGCAGCGAGGATGGCTTTGGTCACACATGCGAATTCCATCCTCGCTTGGCACTTCAGCCTCTTATTTCTCACCCCGTTCGAAGTCTCCCTTGCATCTATTGCGCCTAGATATTACATCTGCCATGCGTCGAGCTGCCTCGCGCGCTGTTTCCGCTTCTGCTTCCGAGCTGTCGCGTCGTAAGTTCGTTCTGACGCGTAACTCCGTTCCGACGCGTGAGTCGCGAAATGCGATACCCCCAGGCGACTTCTCGGCACCTAACCAGCAAATCCTCTCGAATCGCACTCTCGGAGACGCGCGGCTTGACACGTTCCAGGAAGCTTCGTGCCTTGCGCCAAAGGCGGCGAGTTTCGCGCCGGCTGATACGGTCGCTTCGTCCGTGACGACCGGGCTTAGAAAGCCCTTGTTAGTCGCTCCGTTCGCGGCGCGTCCGGTCGCTCCTTCCTCGACGGGTGAACGGAAGGAGAAGTCCTCAGTCGCGCCTTTGCTAGCGGCGGGGGAAACGAACAATTATTGCGAGTCACTCCTTTCGCAACGAGTGAAAGAAGAGAGGCGACCGCAGCCGTTCCTTTCGCAGCGCGAACCTACGTGTCAGGCTCGGGCAGATCCGCAGCTCCGGCAGCGCAGCCAGGTTCGACAGCGAGCGCACCCGCAGGCTCGCCACTAGCCTCGGCAGCAAGCTCCGCCCGAAGCTCGGGTCCAGGCTCGGAACAGGCTGGGAAAGCCAGACCAGGAGGTTTGACCAAGCGGGGATGGAGCCTTGTGTTCTGCGAAACAGGGGAAGGGGGGGGCGGGGGAGGCGGAGCTGGCGGAAGGGGCGGGGAACGGCGGGGGAGGCGCAGGGGGAGAGCGGTGGCGGATGGTTTTCGCGAATTCGGAGCTTTCTGCAGCTGGGGAAGGGCGGAGCGGGGGAGAAGGGGGGCCGAAGCCCCTGACACATGCGGAGAGCTTTTCTGGTGCGTCGGAGAAGGGGAGCAAAGAGGGGCTTGACCCCTGAAACCCCCGACTGACCCCTGAAACCCCCGACTGACCCCTGAAACCCCCGACTGACCCCTGAAACCCCCGACTGACCCCTGAAACCCCCCACTGACCCTGAAACCCCGACTGACCCCTGAAACCCCCGACTGACCCTGAAACCCCCGACTGACCCCTGAAACCCCGACTGACCCCTGAAACCTCCGACTGACCCCTGAAACCCCCGACTGACCCCTGAAACCCCGACTGACCCCTGAAACCCCCGACTGACCCCTGAAACCCCGACTGACCCCTGAAACCCCCGACTGACCCCTGAAACCCCCGACTGACCCCTGAAACCCCCGACTGACCCCTGAAACCCCCGACTGACCCCTGAAACCCCGACTGACCCCTGAAACCCCCGACTGACCCCTGAAACCCCCCACTGACCCCTGAAACCCCGACTGACCCCTGAAACCCCGACTGACCCCTGAAACCCCCGACTGACCCCTGAAACCCCCGACTGACCCCTGAAACCCCCGACTGACCCCTGAAACCCCCGACTGACCCTGGAAACCCCCGACTGGACCCCTGAAACCCCCGACTTGGACCCTGAAACCCCCCGACTGACCCCTGAAACCCCCCCCGGGACTGACCCTGAAACCCCCGACTGACCCCTGAAACCCCGACTGACCCCTGAAACCCCAGACCGACTTACCCTGGAGGCCCGCTTGAGCCCTGAGCCCCTGAAGCCCCTGAGCCCCTGAGCCCCTGAGCCCTGACCCCTGAGCCCTGACTGGACCTAACACATGCAGCGAGTGTTTCCGGTGAGAATACTGGCGTGCCTAGGGGCGGGCAGTATGTACGGTGACGTCAGGCACGGCTTATGCATCATGTGCCTGACGTCACTCACTGCCACAAATTCCTCCCATTCCTCCCATTCCGCCCATTCCTCCCATTCCGCCCATTCCTTCCCATTCCACCCATTCCGCCCATTCCGCCATTCCGCCCATTCCTCCCATTCCGCCCACCTCCTCCCATTCCGCCCATTCCTCCCATTCCGCCCATTCCTCCCATTCCGCCCATTCCGCCCGTTCCGCACATTCCGCACATTCCGCCCATTCCGCCCATTCCGCCCATTCCGCCCATTCCGCCATTCCTCCCATTCCGCCATTCCTCCCATTCCGCCCCTCTCCACCCATTTTACTTCAGAATTTGCGAGCAAGCTCAGGAGAGCGCGGCAGGTGGCACAGCTGACGGTGCGGAGGTGGTCTCCCTGGAGGCGAGCGGGATGTGGTGACGTGTCATGTCACTCATTGCCGCCCATCCCTCCCATCCCAGCCCTCCATCCTCCCAGCCCTCCCAGCCCTCCCATCCCTCCCAGCCCTCCCATTCTCCCCCGCCCACCCTTCACCTTGCAGAATTCGCCTCCAAGCTCAGGAGAGCGCTGCAGGTGGCGCAGCTGACGGTGCTGAGGGGTCGCTCTAGAGGCGAGCGGGATGTGGTGACGTGTCATGTCACTCACTGCCTATGCTGAGGGTTACTCACCAGGCGTGCGGAACGTGGTGAGCAGTCACTCACTCTCACTCAACCTCCTATTTCCTCGCAGAATTTGCGAGCAAGTTAAGGAGAGCGCGGCAGGTGGCGCAGCTGACTGTGCTGAGAGGTTATTCCAGAGGCGAGCGCGATTTGGTGATCAGCGGACTCAAGAAGCAAGAGATGATTACCATGGCGCTTGTTGCTTATGCGGCTGACGTCAACTCTGCAGACGAGCACGTAAGGCATGCGGTAACCAGGGGAGCGTAACCGTGAAGGTGGTAACTAGTTGCTAGTAGCAGAGTCCCTCAAGAAGCAAAGACATGGTGCTTGTGGCTTATGCCGCTGACGCCAACTCTGCCGACGAGCACGTAAGGCATGCTGAATGCGGTTATCAGGCGAGCGCAACTTTTAAGGTGGTAACCAGCAGAGATTGACAGACTCTTCTGTGGTAACCAACACTCAACCCCCTCTCCCCCCCCCTCTCCTCCCCGTCAACACAATTTCCTCGCCACCCCACCTGAACTGAACATCCCCTTTAGAGTCTGCTTTTGGTGCGACTTAAAAGCAGTGCTTGAAAATGCTCCAACCAACAGCAGTGCGATGCAAAAGCAGTGATGAAGGCAGGTCCTGGACCTGGAGCAGGTCTCAAGATGATAGATGCTCATGTCATGATAGGTTCAGCAGAGGAGCTGGAGTCATGATAGGTTCAGCAGAGGAGCTGGAGTCATGATAGGTTCAGCAGAGGAGCTGGAGTCATGATAGACCCCATCTGTAGACCCTTCCCCCCTGCCACCTCATCTCACCTTTCCCACCCTAGCTGTACTTCCCCTGTCGAGTGCGCCAGCACATAGCACGTGAGGCTGGGAGGGAGCAGCAGCAGTAAAGTAAGCCCTTCTCATCCCCCTCCCCCCTTCCCATCACCTTTGCCCTCTCGAAACCCCTCCTCCTCCCCCCCATGCCAACTGTAGGTGACTTTTGAGTCGACTCAAAAGACTCCCCCTTCCCATCACCTTTCCCCTCCGAAACCCCTCCTCCTCCCCCCTATGCCAACTGTACATCCCCGTAAGAGTGCGCGAGTGCATAGCACGGGAGACAGGAAACAGCGTGATGAGTCTATTTTTGAGGCACCTCAAAAATAGCACGGGAGACAGGGAGCAGCAGTCGCCAAAGTGGGCCCTTCTCCTCCCCTTCACCCCTTCATACCACCCCTCCCATCTCCCCTTCCTCCCCTTCACCCTTCATACCACCCCTCCATCTCCCCCTTCCTCCCCTTCACCCCTCCTCCTCACCCCCCACACCAGCTGTACATCCCCTTAAGAGTCCGTGAGCTCATAGCACGTGAGACCGGGCGCAGCATTTTTTAGTGGGCCCTTCTCATCCCCATCACCTCTTCTCACCACTCCTAATCCCTCCCCCTCCCCCCACCCCCCCACGCCAGCTGTACATCCCCTTTAGAGTGCGCGAGCGCATAGCCCGGGAGACTGGGAGCAGCATTCTTGAGTGGGCCTTCTCCTCCCCATCACCTCTTCTCACCTCCCCTAATCCCCCCCCCCCCCCCACGCCAGCTGTACATCCCCCTTTAGAGTGCGCGAGCGCATAGCGCGGGAGACTGGGAGCAGCACGCACGAAGTGGACAATCTAATTAATAAGTACGAGTGGTTCAAGGAGGCGGCCGCCAGGATAGAAGCACAGGAGGAAGCAGGGAAAGCCAGTACCGAGATCGTTTGCTGAGGTGAGAGGAAGGGGGAAGGGGGGGATGAGCAGCAGTCACGAGGTGGACAATCTAATAAATAAGTACGAGTGGTTCAAGGAGGCGGCCAGCAAGATGCAGCGGCTGGAACAGCCGTCACCAAGAGCGATTGCAACAGGAAAGGGGAAAGGGGAAAGGGGGGAAGGGGGAAGGGGGGTGAGACCGGGGTGCAAACAGCCATGAGATGAACAATCTGATAGCCACGTGCGACTGGCTCAACGAGGCGGCCAGCAAGTTGCAGCGGCTGAAGAGCCTGGACAGTCATTACCAAGAGCGTTTGCTGAGGTGAGCAAAAGCAGTGGAGGGAGGGAGGGAGGGAGGGAGGGGAGTAACTTTGGCATAGTAGACATCTGCATAGCCAAGCACGAGTGGTACTTGGCACTTGGTTCTGTACAACGCAGCAGCAGCAGCAGCAGCAGCAAATGGTGCAGCATAGTGTCCTCCCCGTTTCCGTTTCCGTTGCTGGGAGCAGATAGAGCGGATGATGGGTGGCGCTTGGTTCACGAGCAGCACAGCAGTAGCAGCAGCAAATGCTGGTTTTTGAGGCGCCTCAAAAAGGTAGTCTTGGGTCGGCCTCTGATGCAGGTGCAGTGCAGCATCACACCAAACCTGTCTCCTCCCCATTCCCATGTCTGCGAGCAGATAGAGCGGATGATGGGCGGCGCTTGGTTCTCAAACAATGCTACGGCAAGGCCTGGTGGCCGTGGTGGTTCTGGGTCTGCTGCCGCTGCCGGCGCTGCTGCTGGTGCTGCTGGCTCTGCGGCTACTGGTGTGGCATCTGAAGCCCCGGCGCGCAACAGCCCGTGCCCGTGTGGCTCCGGGAGGCGGTATAAGAGGTGAGTCGAGGGGGGAAAGCAGGGCGGTCTGTCTGTGCATTTGGGGGGCGCGGTGCTAAGCACGTTAAAACACGTGCGGCATTGCTAAGCCCCGGCGCGCAACAGCCCGTGCCCGTGTGGCTCCGGGAGGCGGTATAAGAGGTGAGTCGAGGGGGGAAAGCAGGGCGGTCTGTCTGTGCATTTGGGGGGGCGCGGTGCTAAGCACGTTAAAACACGTGCAGCATTGCTAAGCCCCGGCGCGCAACAGCCCGTGCCTGTGTGGCTCCGGGAGGCGGTATAAGAGGTGAGTCTTGGGGGAAAGGAGGACGGTCTGTCTGTGCATTGGGGGGGGGAAGTGTGTTTACTAAGTACCAGCAGCATTGCCAGCCCCAGCGCAACAGCCCGTGTCCGTGTCGATTCGGGAAGCGACAAGAGGTGAGGTCAGGCAAAAGCGTGTAGAGAGTGTGTGATTATAGGAAGTGTGCGATTCTAGGAGATGCATGATTGTAGAGAAGGTGTGTGCACTGGGGAAGTCATGTATTGAGGTGCCTCAGATGCAGTGCAACATTGCAAGCCTAACTTTGAACAGCCCGTGCCCACATGGCTATGGAAAGGAAAAAAAAGAGGCGAGTTTGAGGAAGAAGCGGGTGTGATGTTGGTGAAAGTCAACAAGCTATCTACAGCCTGTGTTTTGTGACTCTAAGAACGCTAGTGTGATTGAAAAAAAGGGTGTTCGTAAGGTAAGGTGTTTGACCGTGAGTTTTGGCCATTCACCACATGTTAACGAGATATGCAAGCAATTAATGTGGTGGAAAGAGCTAGGATGGTGAGCGAAACTGGAGTTCCCCATTTCCCCATTTTCACCCCATTTTAAATCCTTTTTACTTTGGGAATGACGCAGGTGTTGTGGAGCTGCCAAGTGAAGTGCTGTACTTGGAATGACCGCAGAGCTCTTATTTTACCTTAGTAAAAATTATGATAGTGCATTTCTCATGATCAACCAAAGCAATTATGACAAAACAAGGTTTGGTCCATTTGCACGATCTGGAAACAGGCTCGTAAGATGTTTTTGGCGGAAATTCTTCGTAGATACGAGACGATTCGGCATCGGAAGGCTGTACACCTCGGTATAGAGTTTTTCGGACCCTCGGCAATATCAGTGGCTCGCCCGCTGTTCCCTCCTGCACCTATCCTCCTCGTTAGAACATGACTACACTACACTACCTGTCGCTTCAATATGCCGGTATAGAGTTCCTCGTTGCTTTCTCCCTGTCCCTTTCTCCAGAGCCATCGAGAATGGAGCTTCTTGCAGGGAAATGACGTCCTGCTTCAAGGTTTTCCTCCCGCCTCGGCTTTCCGCGTACCAGAGCCGAGGCGTTCCTCTCTTAGAGTCCTTGAGCTCACTTCACGGTGCTTTGAAGTCGAAAAAAACGACTCGAATCTCGCCGAACCCGAAGGAATCTTTGCCAAACCGCAAGGAAAATTCACCACGCGTAGAAGGCCTTCTTTTTTCCGCCATGCTTCCTCGGAGGTCAGCGCGTCTGTCCGCCTTGCAACAATGTAACCAGCTACCTGGTAACCAGCAGCAGCGCTTCGAGCTCTCCACAGTGAATGCGACCTCTTCCCTTCAGGCTTGTTCGGAGGCAGTCGCGCTGCGACAATGCGGCGCCAAAGCCAAGGCCTCAGATCGCAGGGTCGACGGTCAGGCATCCACGGTTGACGAGGCTGCCACGCCAGCAGTTGGGGCTCCTGCGGCTCCTGCATCTCCTGCAGCCCCTGCTGGCGGCTTAAAGCGGAAGCGAGCAGCGTCCAAGGCGAAAGGGCCGGACAGACGCATGGAGGTGAGGAGATGTGCTTGTAATGGTGCGAGGGACGTGAGACGATGTGCTTTCAAGAGGGGAGTGGGGGGAGGTGGGGCAGCGAGCAGCGTCCCAGGCGCGAGTGCCGGATAGATGCGTGGAGGTGAGGAGATGTGGTGTCAATTTTGAGTCGCCTCAAAAGACAATTTTTGAGTCGCCTCAAAAGTCAGCTCGTCCAAGGCGCAAGGGCCGGACAGATGCATGGAGGTGAGGCGATGTGGTGTCAATGGCCTCTCCCCTCTTCCTCCCCTTCACTCCCATTCACTCCCCTTCACTCCCCTTCACTCCCCTTCACTCCCCTTCACTCCCCTTCACTCCCCTCACTCCCCTTCACTCCCCTTCACTCCCATTCACTCCCCTTCACTCCCCTTCACTCCCCTTCACTCCCCTTCACTCCCCTTCACTCCCCTTCACTCCCCTTCACTCCCCTTCACTCCCCTTCACTCCCCTTCACTCCCCTTCACTCCCCTTCACTCCCCTTCACTCCCCTCTTCCTCCCCTTCACTCCCCTTCACTCCCCTTCACTCCCCCTCACTCCCCCTTCACTCCCTTCACTCCCCTTCACTCCCCTTCACTCCCCTTCACTCCCCTTCACTCCCCTTCACTCCCATTCACTCCCCTTCACTCCCCTTCACTCCCCTTCACTCCCCTTCACTCCCCTTCACTCCCCTTCACTCCCCTTCACTCCCCTTCACTCCCCTTCACTCCCCCTCACTCCCCCTTCACTCCCCTTCACTCCCTTCACTCCCCTTCACTCCCCTTCACTCCCCTTCACTCCCCTTCACTCCCCCTCACTCCCCCTCACTCCCCCTTCACTCCCCTTCACTCCCCTTCACTCCCCTTCACTCCCCTCACTCCCCCCTTCACTCCCCTTCACTCCCCTTCACTCCCCTTCACTCCCCTTCACTCCCCTTCACTCCCATTCACTCCCCTTCACTCCCCTTCACTCCCCTTCACTCCCCTTCACTCCCCTCTTCCTCCCCTTCACTCCCCTTCACTCCCCTTCACTCCCCCTCACTCCCCCTTCACTCCCCTTCACTCCCCTTCACTCCCCTTCACTCCCCTTCACTCCCCTTCACTCCCCTCTTCCTCCCCTTCACTCCCCTTCACTCCCCTTCACTCCCCTTCACTCCCCTTCACCCCCCTTCACTCCCCCTCACTCCCCCTTCACTCCCTTCACTCCCCTTCACTCCCCTTCTCTCCCCTTCACTCCCATTCACTCCCCTTCACTCCCCTTCACTCCCCTTCACTCCCCTTCACTCCCTTTCACTCCCCTTCACTCCCCTTCACTCCCCTTCACTCCCCTTCACTCCCCTTCACTCCCCTTCACTCCCCCTCACTCCCCCTTCACTCCCCTTCACTCCCCTTCACTCCCCTTCACTCCCCTCTTCCTCCCCTTCACTCCCCTTCACTCCCCTTCACTCCCCTCACTCCCCTCCCTCCCCCTTCACCCCCCTGGCACCCCCACTTCCCAATGACTCAACCCCCCTCTCGCCCTTCTAGCAATCCCTCTGGCTTCGCGGATTCAAGCACGTGTGCGGACGGATAAGGGGGGCGGGGTGAGGATTATTGGTTGCACCTAACTAAATCAATGCTTTGGTTGGTTGTTCCCTCCTCCCCCGGGCAAGCCCGATGATCCCAGGAATTCAAGCACGTGTGCGGGGTGGACGAGGCGGGGAGGAGCCGCCAGCAGGGTCTGTTTTCTCCTCTCAACCTGCTGTCTTGTTCCACCTTCTTCCCCCACCTCCCACTCCCCCACCCCCGCCCCCAAGCAATCCTTATGGTCGCAGGGATTCAAGCACGTGTGCGGGGTGGACGAGGCAGGGAGGGGCCGCTAGCAGGGCCTTTTCTTTAATCACAATCTGCTGTCTTGCTGTTTGGCCTTCTCCCCTCTTCCACCCCCCAGCAATCCGTGTGGTCGCAGGGCTTTAAGCACGTGAATGGGGTGCATTTGGTGGGGCGAGGGCCGTTAGCTAGCAGGGCTCTTTCCTCCCTGAATATGCTGCCTTGTCTCCCCTCCTCCCCCTCTTCCCCCCCAGCAATTCTTGTGGCTTCGCGGCTTCAAGCACGTGTACGGAGTGGATGAGGCGGGACGGGGGCCGCTAGCAGGGCCTTTTCTTAAATCACAATCTGCTGTCTTGCGGTTTGGCCTTCTCCCCTCTTCCACCCCCCAGCAATCCGTGTGGTCACGGGGCTTTAAGCATGTGTACGGGGTGGATGAGGCGGGGCGGGGGCCACTAGCTGGGCCTGTAGTGGCAGCTGCATGCGCTGTACCTGCAGGGCTGGTGATTCCAGGTAGGGTGTGTAAGTTTGATGTACATTTGGCACATGCATGTGCGTGCCATACATGCGCTAGCAGGGCCGGTGGTGGCTGCTGCATGCGCTGTACCTGCAGGGCTGGTGATTCCAGGTTTGTGCGTTCTTGAGAGAGAGGGAAAGTGCTGTATGGTAGACCTGGTGGGATGTTTGAGGCGCCCCAAAACATGATTCCATAGAGAGAGAGGGGAAAGTGCCCTGTGGTAGACCTGGTGGGATGTTTGAGGCGCCCCAAAACATGATTCCATAGAGAGAGAGGGGAAATTGCTCTGTGGTAGACCTGGTGGGATGTTTGAGGCGCCCCAAAACATGATTCCATAGAGAGAGAGGGGAAAGTGCTCTGTGGTAGTCCTGGTGGGATGTTTGAGGCGCCCCAAAACATGATTCCATAGAGAGAGAGGGGAAAGTGCTCTGTGGTAGACCTGGTGGGATGTTTGAGGCGCCCCAAAACATGATTCCATAGAGAGAGAGGGGAAAGTGCTCTGTGGTAGTCCTGGTGGGATGTTTGAGGCGCCCCAAAACATGATTCCATAGAGAGAGAGGGGAAAGTGCTCTGTGGTAGCCCTGGTGGGATGTTTGAGGCGCCCCAAAACATAATTCCATAGAGAGAGAGGGGAAATTGCTCTGTGGTAGTCCTGGTGGGATGTTTGAGGCGCCCCAAAACATGATTCCATAGAGAGAGAGGGGAAAGTGCTCTGTGGTAGTCCTGGTGGGATGTTTGAGGCGCCCCAAAACATGATTCCATAGAGAGAGAGGGGAAAGTGCTCTGTGGTAGACCTGGTGGGATGTTTGAGGCGCGCCAAAACATGATTCCATAGAGAGAGAGGGGAAAGTGCTCTGTGGTAGTCCTGGTGGGATGATTGAGGCGCCCCAAAACATGATTCCATAGAGAGAGAGGGGAAAGTGCTTTGCGGTGGATTTGTTGGCGTGCAAAAGGTTTGTGGGAAGAGGGCCGCTAGCAGGTACCGTGGTGGCTGGCTGGCTGCTGCATGCGCTGTGCCTCCCTGCAGGACTGGAGACTGCAGTGCAGGTACCATATGTGACTTTTGAGAATTCCAAAGAATCACCTACCTGCAGGCAGGACTGGACTGGAGATTGCAGGTAGGTACCATATGTAACTGCCTACGTGTTACAGGTGAAGTTCCACGTCGTGTTTTGACAGGCACGTGCATGTGCAACACATACCTCCGTGCAAAAATAGACTCATGTGCAACGCATACCTCCTCCTCCCTGCTGTGGCGGCTGCATGTGCCGTGCCTGCAAGTCTGGTGATTGATTGCAGGCGTGCTATCGCTCTTCCCATCTAGTGGCTCGATTGATACATGCACGCCCACAAGCAGGCGGCAGGCCCTCTGGTGGCTGCTGCCTGCGCTGTACCGGCAGGGCTAGTTAGTCGTGTCATTGAGTCAACCTTGGGTCTTGCTGTCGTGCTGTAGGCGATTTTTGAGAATTCTAACAAATCACAAGGAGGCCCTCTGGTGGCTGCTGCCTGCGCTGTACCGGCAGGATTAGTTAGTCATGTCATTGACTCAACCTTGGGTCTTGCTGTCGTGCTGTAGGCGATTTTTGAGAATTCTAAAAAATCACAAGGAGGCCCTCTGGTGGCTACTGCCTGCGCTGTACCGGCAGGATTAGTTAGTCATGTCATTGAGTCAACCTTGGGTCTTGCTGTCATGCTGTAGGCGATTTTTGAGAATTCTAAAAAATCACAAGGAGGCCCTCTGGTGGGTGCTGCCTGCGCTGTACCGGCAGGACTAGTTAGTCATGTCATTGAGTCAACCTTGGGTCTTGCTGTCATGCTGTAGGCGATTTTTGAGAATTCTAAAAAATCACAAGCAGGCCCTCTGGTGGCTGCTGCCTGCACTGTACCGGCAGGACTAGTTAGTCATGTCATTGAGTCAACCTTGGGTCTTGCTGTCGTGCTGTTGCAGGTCTAGCGGACAGCAAGAAGCTTTTGGAGAAGCAAAGGGAGGAGATATTGCTGTTTTGCTGCCTTATTGCCTCACTGTTTCATTCTCGGATTGCCTTCCCTTCGCTGGACTAGATGTCAGCAAGAAGCTCTTGGAGAGGCAAAGGGAGGAGATATTGCTGTTTTGCTGCCTTATTGCCTTGCCTTACTGTCTATTTGGCTCTTGTCGTACTGTTTCATTCTCTGGTTGCCTTCCTGTTGCAGGTCTAGATGACAGCAAGAAACTCTCGGAAGAGCAAAGGGAAGAGATTTTTGACGCCATTGTCTCAAACCCAGACATTTTCTACGCTGTAAGCTCTTGCACGCACTCACCACCATGCTGTGCGGATGGATGCTATATGCTGTATGGATGGATGCTATAATGCTGTATGGATCAATGCTATATGCTGTATGGATGGATGCTATTTGCTGTATGGATGAATGCTATATGCTGTACGGATGGATGCTATATGCTGTATGGATGAATGCTATATTGCTGTATGGATGGATGCCATATGCTGTACGGATGGATGCTATATGCTGTATGGATGGATGCTATATGCTGTACGGATGGATGCTATATGCTGTACGGATGGATGCTATATGCTGTACGGATGGATGCTATATGCTGTATGGATGAATGCTATATGCTGTACAATATTCTGGCTCGCTCGTTGTACTGTAGACTGTCAGGATTTGAACCAGCGTCCTGTTTGCCTGATTGCATGCTGTTGTTTTTAGGGTATTTTTTAGAGTTCTCAAAAATACCCTGTTTTTCTTGTTTCTGTTTCCCCCCCTATGTGCTCTGTGCTTTTGAGTCGACTCAAAAGTCATCTCCCCCTATGTGCTCTGTGCTTTGTTTCTGCAGGTGGACATTGTTGGCCCAGCGGAAATTGATAGAGTGAACATACTTCAGGTGTGTTGACTTTAGGTGTCTTGATTCGGTCTATTTTTTAGGCGCCTCAAAGATAGAGTGAACATGCTTCAGGTGTGTTGACTTTAGGTGTCTTGATTCGGTCTATTTTTGAGGCGCCTCAAAGATAGAGTGAACATACTTCAGGTGTGTTGACTTTAGGTGTCTTGATTCGGTCTATTTTTGAGGCGCCTCAAAGATAGAGTGAACATGCTTCAGGTGTGTTGACTTTAGGTGTGCCTTGATTCGATTTGCGTTGTCTTGAGTTGGCTTCAGTTTCCTTGTAAGCACGCGTTCAGTGCGTTGACTTGCATTGATCTGACCGCCTCGCCTCATCCCGCGCTGCCTGCATGCCCCTTCAGCATAAATTGCCCGACCAGCTCGTGTTGACTTATTACCAGCCGCACCCGTGTTGCCCCTCCCCCCCCCTTTTGGAAAGACCTCAACAACTCCCCCGCCCACCCCCGCAACCCCCCCCCCTGGACCCCTTCAATCTTCACTCAACGATTGTAGCGACGGCTAACATGATTGCCAAGGCAGGGGAGGATCCCATCTGGTCGTCGCATGTTGAATCCACATGATTCTGAGGCTCTCCCTCAATCCTCTCCCCCCCACACCACTCCCCCTTTTCTCTCCAACGTTTTCAGGCAACGATGCTAGCGATGGCCAACACTACACGCTCGGCCGTGGACGACCCCCCCCATGTGGTCTTTCTGTCCCAGTCCCCCAGTTCTTTTGGCTTACCCTTCTAGTCCCCCCTCTTCCCCCTCCCGTACACCCCCCCATGGGACTTCAGGCAACGATTGCTGGCAATGGGCAACACTATAACGAAGGTTGGGGAGGACCCCAGGTGTCCCTCGCCTGACTATGTGCTTGTGGACGGCAACAGGGTGCCTGAGGGGCTGCCTTGTGCTGCTGAAGCCATTGTGAAGGTACTGATCAATTGTTGTATGCATGTCATATATGGCATGGCATGGCATGGCATGGCATGTATGGCACAGCATGGAGTCCCAGGTGTACTTCCCCGACTGTGTGCTGGTTGGCGGTAACAAGGTGCCTGAGGGGCTGCCGTACGCCGCTGAAGCCAGAGTCAAGATACATGCTTGCTGGCACTCATACTGTGCATGGCATGGAGTGGCACGGCATGGCACAGCAAGAGACCCCAGGTGTACTTCCCCCAACTGTGTGCTGGTTGGCGGCAACAAGGTGCCTGAGGGGCTGCCGTACGCCGCTGAAGGTGTGGCCAAGGTACATGCTTACTGCACTCATACTGTGCATGGCATGGCATGGCATGGCATGGCATGGAGTCTATCTGAGGCTGCGACGCTCCCTGCATCATGTGCCCCGACTATGCTCGTTCCATACCACACCGGGAAGTTCCTCTCACCGTTACACCAGATCAGGAAAGTGCTTCCCTTCCCGCTTTCTCGTCAACTGAGACTAGTTTTGAGGCGCCTAAAGAGTAATTTGGAAGTGCTTCCTTTCCCCATCTCCCATCATTCTCCTCCATGCCCCTCCCTGTGCGTGTTGTAGGTGATTTTTGAGATTTCTAAAAAAATCATCTACAATACGCACATCCCAGGCGAAATTTGTCTAGATGTTTGACTAGTAAGTCTTTTTTCTGCTCAAAATTTCTCTCCCAGGAGATGGTTAGATCTATACATCAGGCGTAGATTTCTCTGGTTAGCTTGCTGCGGATCCAACCCATTTCATCGCAAAAATCAGGAAATTGCTTCATTTCCCAATTTCCCGTCATTCTCCTCCCCTGCCCCTCCCCGCGTGCTTTCTTCGCAGGGTGATGCGACATGCTACGCCATTGCGGCTGCCTCCATTCTCGCCAAGGTCACAAGGGACCGACTCATGCTCAAATTCGACAGGTGCGACCGGTGCCCTTGTGTCCTGTTGTGAACACAATGATGAGTTGAAATGGCGCATGATATGCCGTCGAGCAGCTGCTTCCATTCTCGCCAAGGTCATAAGGGACCGACTCATGCTGAAATTCTACAGGTGAGGCCATGTGAAAACGCGATGACGAGTCGAATGACTGCATGCATGCTAAATCCTGGCCTTGTCGTCGTGGCTGGTTCCATCCTGACCAATGTTACAACGGACCGACTCATCCTCCAATTTGACAGGTATGGGAAAAATGCATGTGATTTGATTGCCACATGTATTTGGCCACATGTTGTAATTCCACTCGTGTTGCCCGTGTCTACATCATCATGTATGGTTGAATTGGAGCAGCGTGACGCACGCCAAGGAAGAAGAATGCCACATGTGTGCTTCCCATTGCCAGTGTGACTCATGATATGTCCTCCCATCCCATGGCCCGTGTCCCATCCATCCCGTCCTGCTATTTTCCCATCTAATTTATTTCTGATCTCTTGCTGCGGTACGGTATGCACCCGGACATAAGCGCATATGTGCTTATAATGGAACCTCTTGCAAAATCACATGCGCTTATAATCGTCTAAATTGTATAAGCGCATGCATTTAATAAAAGTATTTTAAGGAAAAGTTACTTCAAGGCATTAAAATGTAGCTCTGAGAATTTTTGTTCGAGTGGCATTACCTCCATAGGGGGTCATGTTGGTAGATTGCGTGGAATCGGCTCTCGAAGAATCCCCTATCAAAACCTTGCTATATCGAGTCAATCGGAGCCATTCAGAGCCAAATTTACAAATCGGAATTGGCGCTACTGTCTTGCGAGGTGCCCGGGGGGCTGTGGTAGGGGTGGCTTGAGATTCGGATATGAAAAATCCGCGTTTCACTCGTTTTTTACAACAGTGTAATGCGCTCACAATAAACACCACCTGCAAAAAATAGGTGCGCAAATAATGAAATTACGGATATAAGCGCGTTCGCACTGTATAATCCCAATGTGCTTAATAATCGGGTGTACACGGTATGTATGTCCTCCCATCCCATCCCCCTCAGGCTCTACCCGGCTTATGGCTTCAAGCAGCACAAGGGCTACGGCACAGCGGCACACATAAAAGCAATATTGGCACACGGCCCTGGTGCCATCCCATTCCACTCAATCCCATCCCATCCCCCTCAGGCTCTACCCGGCTTATGGCTTCAAGCAGCACAAGGGCTACGGCACAGCAGCCCACATGAAAGCACTCTTGGCGCACGGTGCCTGCCCTATCCACCGGAGATCCTTTGCCCCATTAAGGACTGGGCTGTCCTTGACAAAAGCGACTAGATTATGGCCTTGAGTGTAGTGGAGTGTCACTTCACAATGCGACTCACTTTTGTTATGAAAGCTTACACATGTTTCATAAAATAATCTGCATATCATCATAGTCCTCAGCAAGCTTCTTGCTTTTTTTTTTTTTTTTTTTGAACACGATCGTTTTATTGAGGGCTTTTCGCAACAGAAAACGTTCCTCACATCCTTATCTCTTGTTACCATGTTTGTAACACAGCATATGCGCAAGAATCTTCACATGTTGCCAAACCACTTCCGAGTCATAGTTCACTCCATCCCCTCTACAAGCCTCGCTCCTGGTCCTAGTAGTGGAGTAGAAGTCCGCAACCGAGTGCCCAGTAGCAGCGAAGCGGGAGGCAGCGTGGCGCTGGTAGCGGCTGTGGTATCGCCGAATCGTAAATAATTGCTCTCCCCTAATCTTGCCTGCGGGTGAAGGGGAAGAGGTGGCGTGAGGGGATGCAAACAAAGGGTGTGCTTATGGGAGGCGGGGAAAGAGAGGCAGCGTGGCGCTGGTAGCCGCTGTGATATCAACAAATTGTGAGGGAGTGAGGGGGCGAGGTTGAGGAGGGGAAGAGAGGGGGGGAAGAGGGGGCGGTGGGAATGAGGGGTGAGGGGATGGATGAACTCAAGCCTTGCTCCTAGTCCATCCTTGCTCCTTCTTCACTGCAGTGGAGAACGATCCGCTACGGACTGCCAGCGTCGCGCTGATTCTCGCATTGCTACCGAATGCCTGTTGGCAGAAATGCGAGAATCAGCACGTCGCTGGTAGCGGTGGCAAATGGTAATCAGCTGCTCCCCTGGATTTGGGGGAGCAAATGGATCTCTACTGGATTTGCAGAGGAAGGGGTGGCAGTGTGGCACGAAAAAGGGAGGGAGGGGGGGGGGGGGGGGGGGAGGTGGAAGGTGGGCAGGGGCGAAGCGAGAGTCGGCGTGGCGCTGGTAGCGGCGAAGATAAGCGGATGCTCGCCCTGATACTCTGAGCTGAGCCTGGTGGGTTATCAGGGAGCCTGGTGGAATATTCATCGTTTGAGATGTTTCAGGTTTCGTCAGCCAGTGATTTTTTATTAATGATTTTCACAGATTTCTTCCCACCTTGTTGGATGTAATGCGCTTTCCACCATATAACTCTCTGCTCTGGGAAGCTGCCCTGAACCTTTCCCAGCAGCTCCTCGGTATCCTCTTTAAAAGCAGTCAGGTTGAGCTTCACGCGCGGCCGCCCCGACCACCCAAACACCTCGTGCACCCCCATACTCATTATAAGCACGTCTGGTCTATCCGCTGCAGGGTCCTGTAGGCCCTCGAAGAAGAAATCGTTGACATCATCTTTTGGTGAATCCCCTGGCTGGGGAGGAAGAGAGGGAAAGGAAAAAAAGGGGGGTGGGGGGGAGGGGGGAAGGGACGAGGCAGGGATTACCCACTGCTGGAGCCGTTGCTTGGTGCGCCATCTTGGCTCGAAACAGGAAAGACACCACGGGGCGATACCAGACCAGCCAGTACCCTTAATGCCAAGTGCACCACTTCGGATACCGCAACCAGCACTGTCCAAACTCACTGCATGCAGGGCTCGTTGGTCGTCTTCGCTCATAGTAGAAGGGCAGCAGTGGGTGAAGTAGCGCACATGCACCAACGAGCACTCACTGCCGGGGCTCGCTGGTCCGGAACAGTACTAATGCTAACACCACATACCAAAACCAGCACAACCTGCACCACCAGCACCACCAGCACGACCAGCACGACCAGCACCACATGCACCACCAGCACCACCAGCACCACATTCACTCACTGCAGGGGCTTGCCGGTGCGCCATCTTGGCTCGAAACAAGAACGAAAGACAGCACGCGGCCATCGGGGCTATGCTCAACAGCCAAGCTCAGAACCAACCACCAACGCCACATGCACTCACTGCAGGGGCTTGTTGGCGTGCCATCTTAGCGCGGAACATGTAAGACACCACGGGGCGATCAATGCTCCTTTCTACTGGCCGCCACTAACGGCACACACCACAACTAGCACAACCAAGCCACCACCACCACCACATTGACTTGCACTCACTGCAGGGGGCTCGCTGGTGCGCCATCTTGGCTCGGAACAAGTAAGACACCACGGGGCGATCGGTGCTCCTTTCTACAGGCCGCCACTAACGGCACACACCACAACGAGCACAACCACACCCAGCACCACCACATTGACTTGCGCCCACTGCAGGGCTCGCTGGTGCGCCATCTTAGCTCGAAACAAGTAAGACACCATGGGCGATCGGTGCTCCATTCTACAGGCCGCCACTAACGGCACACACCACAACGAGCACAACCACACCCAGCACCACCACATTGACTTGCGCCCACTGAAGGGGCTCGCTGGTGCGCCATCTGGGCCTGAAACAGGTAAGACACCGCGGGGCGATCGGGACTCGGGCTTCCTCCCGACTGCCCAGTGCCCACCCACCACTAACACCACATACCCAAACCAGCACAACCAGTACCACCACATCGACTTTGCACTCACTGCAGGGGCTCGTTGGTGCGCCATCTTGGCTCGGAACAAGTAAGACACCACGGGCGATCGGCGCTCCTCTCTACAGGCTGCCATCCCCTTGCATCCTCTGCCTCAGTGCTCTCCTCGTTACTGCCACTCCCGTTATTGCCACTCTTGTTACTGTCGCTTCCGTCACTGTCACTCCCGTTATTGTCACTCCCATTACTGTCACTTCCGTTGCTGTCGATTATTGGACCACCACTAGAGTCACTGCCGCCGCTGCTGCTGCTACTACTGCTGCTCGTGTCTTCATTGGCCGGATCGTCCTCATTAGAAGCAAGCCTTCTTCTGTTACTGGAGCTTTGCTCGTCCTGTTGGGTATTCTCTGTATTTTCATCCAAGACAAGAGTAGAAGAGGACGAAGAAGAGGGCGCCGATGGGACTTCGGACGAGGAAGAGGAGGAGGAAAGGAGGAGGAGGAGGAGGAGGAGGAGGAGGAGGAGGAGAGGAGGAGGAGGAAGATTTGGAGGAGGAGGGTGAAGCAAAGGAGGAGGAAGATGGCGAAGGGGGTCTCAAATACTCTGGTGGCTTGATGCCGACTTTCTTAATCCGCATTTTCTTGGCGAGGAAGGTGGAGAGTGTGCGAGAGGTCTGGTCGCCAACGAAGTGGATCCACTGGCCCTTGAGGCACTTGTGAAGCTCTGGACCGGAGAAGTCACTGGTAACAGGGATGAGTGGAGAGGGGAGGAGAATAAAGGAGAGATGGGAATATGGCAAGGAAGGTGGAGAGTGTGCGAGAGGTCTGGTCGCCAAAGAAGTGGATCCACTGGCCCTTGAGGTACTCAAACAGCTCTGCACCCGAAAAGTCACTGTGTGGTGTGAGCGGGGTTGGAGAGCTTTGGAGGGTTTGAGTGGTCTGGTCGCCAAAGAAGTGGATCCACTGGCCCTTGAGGCACTCTCGAATAGCTCCGAACCAGAGAAGTCGCTGGGGGGACAGGGAACGCGGGAATCGGGACGGAAGGAAGGAAGGGAGGAAGGAAGGAGAGACGGAGGAGAGTTGAGAACAACGAAAGTGGGAATACGGTGGAGAGCGTGCGAGACCTCTCTCCACTCTCTCCACTCTCTCCACTCTCTCCACTCTCTCCACTCTCTCCACTCTCTCCACTCTCTCCACTCTCTCCACTCTCTCCACTCTCTCCACTCTCTCCACTCTCTCCACTCTCTCCACTCTCTCCACTCTCTCCACTCTCTCCACTCTCTCCACTCTCTCCACTCTCTCCACTCTCTCCACTCTCTCCACGCCCTCGCAGATGGACAGGAAGGAAGGAAGGAGGGAAGGAAGGAAGGAGGGAAGGAAGGAAGGAGGGAAGGAAGGAAGGAGGGAAGGAAGGAAGGAGGGAAGGAAGGAAGGAGGGAAGGAAGGAAGGAGGGAAGGAAGGAAGAGGAAGGAAGAAGGAGGGAAGGAAGGAAGGAGGGAAGGAAGGAAGGAGGAAGGAAGGAAGGAGGGAAGGAAAGGAAGGGAAGGAAGGAAGGAGAGGGAAGGAAGGAGGAGGGAAGGAAGGAAGGAGGGAAGGAAGGAAGGAGGAAGGAAGGAAGGAGGGAAGGAAGGAAGGAGGGAAGGAAGGAAGGAGGGAAGGAAGGAAGGAGGAGGGAAGGAAGGAAGGAGGGAAGGAAGGAAGGAGGGAAGGAAGGAAGGAGGGAAGGAAGGAAGGGGGAAGGAAGGAGGAGGGAAGGAAGGAGGGAAGGAAGGAAGGAGGGAAGGAAGGAAGGAGGGAAGGAAGGAAGGAGGGAAGGAAGGAAGGAGGGAAGGAAGGAAGGAGGGAAGGAAGGAAGAGGGAAGGAAGGAAGGAGGGAAGGAAGGAAGGAGGGAAGGAAGGAAGGAGGGAAGGAAGGAAGGAGGAAGGAAGGAAGGAGGAAGGAAGGAAGGAGGGAAGGAAGGAAGGAGGGAAGGAAGGAAGGAGGAAGGAAGGAAGGAGGGAAGGAAGGAAGGAGGGAAGGAAGGAAGGAGGGAAGGAAGGAAGGAGGGAAGGAAGGAAGGAGGAAGGAGAGAGAGGTCTTATCACCAAAGAGCCATATCTCTCAGCTATAGCCACAATGTTCTGCCCCTTTCAAATATAGTCACAACGTTCTGCCCCTTTCAAATATAGTCACAACGTACTGCCTCTTTCAAGTGTAGTCACAACGTACTGCCCCTTTCAAATATAGTCACAACGTACTGCCTCTTTCAAATATAGTCACAACGTACTGCCTCTTTCAAATATAGTCACAACGTACTGCCCCTTTCAAATATAGTCACAACGTACTGCCTCTTTCAAATATAGTCACAACGTACTGCCTCTTTCAAATATAGTCACAACGTACTGCCCCTTTCAAATATAGTCACAACGTACTGCCTCTTTCAAATATAGTCACAACGTACTGCCTCTTTTCAAATATAGTCACAACGTTCTGCCTCTTTCAAAATAGTCACAACGTTCAGCCCCTTTCAAATATAGTCACAACGTACTGCCTCTTTCAAATATAGTCACAACGTACTGCCTCTTTCGAATATAGTCACAACGTTCTGCCTCTTTCAAATATAGTAACAACGTTCTGCCTCTTTCAAATATAGTCACAACGTTCTGCCTCTTTCAAATATAGTCACAACGTACTGCCTCTTTCAAATATAGTCACAACGTACTGCCTCTTTCGAATATAGTCACAACGTTCTGCCTCTTTCAAATATAGTCCCAACATTCTGCCTCTTTCAAATATAGTAACAACGTTCTGCCTCTTTCAAATATAGTCACAACGTTCTGCCTCTTTCAAATATAGTCACAACGTACTGCCTCTTTCAAATATAGTCACAACGTACTGCCCCTCTCACCTATAGTCACAAATTTCAGCTGTAGTCACACACAATCATCTGCCTCCCGCCACATGTAGTGGTCCCATGGAGTCGTATATGGATTACAGGTAGGCTGCGGAGGCCTTAATTACGACTCAATCAGCCCACCTGTAATCCATCTACGACTCAATCATCCGCCTCCCGCCACATGTAGTTGTCCCACGGACCATACCAAAGAACACATCCATCCATACGCCTTCCACCATATGCAACGCACTCATGTGTCATGTTGTCGGCGATTTTTTAGAATTCTCAAAAATCGCCTTCCACTATATGCAATGCACTCACGTGTCATGTTGTAGGCGATTTTTTAGAATGATAAAAAATCGCCTTCCACCATATGCAATGCACTCACCCGTATTGACACTCATCCGCCTCCCACCACCATTGTAGTTGCCCCA